CACCCGGGGCAAAGCAATGCTGTGCTGAAAAGTCGCCTCATCAAGAGAACATCGCGCGCTATATCTCCGGCATTCGTAGTCGGCCATGGCAATATCAACAAGTTCCCTTCTGGAGGCCTCAAGGTGGAAGGGAAGAGGTGAGGTTGAATTTGTCTCCGGTAAGGTCAAAGCGGCGCCGATTCTGGCGGGTCTCGCCGAAACTTAGACTTCTGGCTCCTGTTTGCGGCAGGTGCCAAATGCATCACACCACTTTGAAGGAGCAAACGGTTGGATAATGAAAAGCAGTGAAAGAACCAATGTTGGATTGCATGAAATTGTGACAGAGAACCAGGAATTCGGTCTGCTTTTGTACCTAGCCATAAACACGGAAGCGTTGCCTCACACTGACATGGTGAGCATGCCACTTCCTTGGGGGCGCAGTTTGTAGGCGAATGCGAAGTGGTTCATCTTCCAGCATACGAAGGATTTGAGTCACTAAGGGTTAATTAACTGATGCCTAGTTACTTACCCGCAGCGGATCTTGTGGTTGTAGTTAGCCGCTCAAGTAATACGAGGGACCTAACCGACATTCGGCGTGAGTCAAAATGGCATCCAAACTCAAAGCTGGATACGCCTATTTATCCGGCTACTTCAACATCCCTCCCCTAATGGCCCATTGAGAAAATTCGTCTTCAGCAACTAAAGCAGCCGATTCTCACCTGCGCCAGCGACTTGACTCTAAGTAAGACGGACGTTCCGCTAGTTCTCGGACTTGCACCCAATCATCAAGTACCTAGCACCGCTTACCCCCGTAAACCAAAGTTTCAAGTATCACCATTATACAACATACACAATCAATCCGAATCAGGAGAAAGCATGTCCCGCAAACCTATCGAAATCGACGGGCGGACCGGCGAAGGAGGCGGACAATTAGTCCGCGTCGCCATAGCCCTCGCAGCAGTCACCACTCAGCCAGTCCGCATCACAAACGTAAGAGGGAATCGTCCTTCGCGTGGCGGAGGTGGAAGTGGGAGGAGCAAGAAAGGCGACAGCAGTAGCAGCAAAGGAGGCGGTGAGCATCCACGCGTTCACTTATACACAGCCCATCTCAACCAACACTGTAAACTAACAACAACGAATACAGGTCTCAAAGCCCAACACGTCACCGCAATCCGGTGGCTAGCAGAAGCAACAGACGCAGAGGTAGAAGGCCTCTCCGTAGGCAGCAGCACCCTAACCTTCATCCCCCGTCTCTCCCCCTCTGCTGCTCTCGTCAACAAGTCCCGCAAGATCAAGATCGTGGCGGATACGAGCGCGGCGAGCACGCTCCTGATTCTCCAGGCCGTCCTCCCATTCCTTCTCTTCGCAGGCGGAGACGAAGCCAGACCCATCGAGCTCGAGATCCAGGGTGGGACGAATGTAGACTTCTCGCTTTCGTACGAGTACCTAGACCAAGTTCTCCTCCCACGCCTAGAATCTTCATTCGTGGGCGTACTCGTCGAGCGGAAACTCGTTGCGCGCGGATGGAGTAAAGGACCGCAGAGCAGGGGCTCCATCGTGCTCACGATTCACCCTCTCAAGCCAGGCCAGCCGCTGCGTCAGCTATCTCCCCTATCGAACCCATACGACGGTACCCCCTCCGAACGTCGCAAGGTAGTACACTCCATAGACGTCACAATGATCGTCCCTTCCTACCAGCAGGCCATCCTCCAAGAAACACTAGCAACGGAAATCGCCGGAGCTTTTCCCCACGCAGAGCTGGTGTACAAGCACGTCGAGGACTCGGGCAACGACAAGCGGTTGTATACCCTCCTGGTAGCCAAGGACGCCTCTGGGATGCTACGTTGGGGCTGCGACGAGTCCGCGTCTCCGAAGCAGAGCCGGCGTAGACAACTTGGGCATGAGCACGACGATTTCGCGTGGGCCATCAGCCGCGCGGTCGTTTGCCGTCTACTTGGTGAACTATCGATACCGGGCTCGACGGTGGACAAGTTCTTACAGGATCAGCTTATCATCTTCCAGGCTTTGGCGGAAGGGACAACGTCGTTCCCACGTGCTGCTGCGCCGAGCAGCGGCAGTGATGACGACGTGGAGGTTGCGAGTCAAGACATGGCGCAGTTGGACCTAGGGGAGAGGATGAGGAAGGATAGGACAGATAAGCCATTCGGATATGGCAGCTTGCATGCTCAGACGGCGAGATGGGTGGCGTCAGAGATCTTGCCTTCGGTGGAATGGTATAACAAAGGGACGATATGCAAAGGGGTTGGAACGAGCTTCAGCTAAGAAAACTGGATATATCGAACAACGCAACCTGGAACCTGAACAGAAAGCTTCAAACACACACAAAATCAGTCTGCCTCCAACTCCGTGCCAATAACAAGCGCCATGTGAAAGATGATCCAAAACAATTTTTCATGTCCCAGCCCTCACTCTGCCTTGCTAGCAGGAGCAATCGTCCACTGTCCCTCCTTCAAACTAGCAGGGCCGCATTTCCACGAGCATCCTCTCCTCAAGAACGGAACAGCCCCCTCGTTCTCTTCATCCAAATCCGTCCAGGGGCGAGCCTTGACGACATGACCTTCTTGGGTTTGCCTGCTCTCGACAAGGCATACCTGCCACCACTCCAGCCACTGTGTTGTGGGTGCCACAAAGGGCTTCTTGCACGCGGAACAAGTAAGTCCGCCAACTTCACGCTGGTCGGCAGCACGCTCGAGTAGGGCTTGCAAGTGAGGCAGCGAATCAGGGATGTAGTCGGGCAGTTCGCCGAGGTCGGAGCTCTTGTAAGCACTTCGTAGTGCCAACTCCATCAGACTAGGAACGCGACTTCCCTTTGCACCCGGAACGCTTCTCCCAGCGGACTTTGAGTGGTAGGGTGCCGATGACGGTGGGGAGATGAGGGATGTGCTGTCTCCAGTGTCGTCCATCCGCTCCGTCTGCACGATCACTCCCTCCGGGTCAAGGCGGAACTCAGAGTGCGAGAAGCCCGAGCTATCGAGATAGTGGACTGGTGATCGCACGATAAACCTGCCTGCAACACCGTCAAAGCCGGGTCTCCATGCCTCGGTCAGTTCCGACCCCCCAGAAGCGCCGCTCTCAAGACTTTCCAAGTCAGCCAGCGCAGGCCGCTCAGCCGCCTGGAAGAAGTGGTTGCCCTGTAGAAGCAACTCTTCCAAGGCGGAGGGAGCTGCCATGAGATCCAGAAGCTCGGCCGGGAGGTATCTCAGCAAATTCTGGGCTAGATTCAGGGTGCGAAGACTTCGCATCTTGCCAATCGCAGGGGGCAGCTCCCGTAGTCGGCATCCACGGAGCGAAAGCACTGTCAGGTGTTCCAGGTCGAATATGGCCCCTGGAAGCCGCTGCAGAGGGTTGCGGTACAGATACAGCTGCAAAGCGGGATCCTTCTGCTCAAACGGTACTCCTTCGGCAACAATGGGAATGCAGGAGAATTCGGACAGAGGGCGAATGGTAGCATCGGTGAGAGTCTTGAGTCCCATCATGCTGTTTACAGTCAGATCTACTGGGGTGCCTGCAGTTGGGTCGCACACTCACGATAGATCAATGTACTCGGTGCCAGAGTCCAAACATTGCTGTACCCTTTCCCGCGCTTCCAGTTCCTCGGCCGAGATAACGTTGCGCCGCCGAGCCATTACCCGGTCGAGCTGAGGTAGCTTCGACTGCGTCGGCAGATCGGGCATCATCACGCTCTCGTCGCCATCTGTGCTGTCGCTGCCCATCCAGACACCACTGTCCAGGTCGCGCTTCAAGGTTCGCTTGCCCCTCAGCGCTGGCCGCGGCTCCCCGGTTGCAGAATCGGAAGAGGCAGGCTGCTGGTGGAACCAAGAGCCTACATACTTCTTCTTCTTTCGCCGTCCCTCGACATAGTTGTCCAGACCTGGGTCGTCATCGCTGGAAAATACGGCAGGATCACTAGAGTTGGACCATGATGGCGGCGCGACAGAGTGGCTTTTAAAGTTGTACCTCCGCTTTCTCGGATTATTGCTAAAACTTTGGGTCTGGGCGTTCCATGAGATGGACGGCAACAAGCTGGGAAGACTGGGTTCGTCGGCCATGGCGAAGATTGGAAAGAAGATGTAAGAGAAACGAGTCTGAAATGTGTGCGAGGTCCAGCCGGCACCAAGAGATTGGGAAGCTCTCGTCCGAGGCCCGCCACCACGACCCTCGCCCGCGGGTGGGACAGCGCGTGTCGTGACGCAGGTGGGGGTTCGAACGCGTTCGGCCAGGGTCAAGTCCCACAGGGGTATTCCGCTCACACGATCTCCGAAGATAGCTCCGAACACCCTTGTACTGAATTCCAGAAGCTGTCAAAGTGCAAGCTGGAAAGACCTCGGAGTTATCAACTTATAAAGTCTCTCGAAAAGCCATGAAAAAAGGTCATTGTTTACGTCTTGACGCGACCAACAGTTGCCTACTGGCCCTCCCGAAACTTAGAAGCCCTTGCCCAAAAGCGGCCTAGCCTTCTTTCCTTCCCCGGGAGTCGTGACACCCTGAACCCCACCCATGCACAGGCCAATCGATAGCCGTTATCTTCAGCCTTCAGGGTCTCCGCAGCGGTAACACGCGGGGCATCAGATGCACGAAATCCAGGAACCAAGATTAGCCCCTCGTCATACGATGACACTTTAGCACCAGCTGCATATGACACTCTCCCCCGTTGCGCATAGCTTTTCACTTTGGTCCGAAGGCTTCCTAGGTCGCATGGTGATCAAGTTTTATTCCTTGGTAACCGTCAGATTCCCCATTGACGTATGACCTGGTATCTCTATTGAGGCGAGTCCTCGTTCCGAAGAGCATAATATCTCATTGCGGGAGAAAGGCACAGAAGAGGCCTGCAAGTAACATGACTTCGTGAATGTGGAGGCACAGAACTCCGTGTTGAGTCAAGCTGCGCATGATGTAGGATCTGCGGATGAGAAAGGTGTCAATCCCGTCCCATTCATCTCATCCGTGGCGTAATCCCACATCGCGGTAGGTACATTGACGCTGATAACGGAGGACACCTCTCAGTCCCAGTCGTCATCATCGCTGTCGTGTCCTTTGGACTTTGACACATTTCCTTGTCGGATACCTTTGCCCATCGCCCTCTCCTCCTCTTCGTCTTCTGCTTGCCTCCGGCGCTTGGCCACGCGCATATCCGTCTCTGGTACAGCGCCGACCTCCACCAACAGGTTGTCCAGCTGAAGCATGTTGATCTTGACGCCCCCCATCTGCACAAGTGTCACAACCTGCTTAGCAATGTCGCCGTTCTTGTAGACCAAGATCGTTGGGCAATTTCGTTCGGGGTAGTTCTCGATGGCCTTATCCGCCCGCATTTCACAGAATTTGATCTCTCCGTATTCCTGTGCTGCCTGCTTCCAAAGCTCCGATAGCACCCGGGACTCGACGTTTGTGCCCAGCGATGACGTCAGGTTGACAAAGACCGGGCCGTTGTTGGACGCTTCTGTGACCTCGCGCGAGTATTCGGGTTTCGAAATCGGGTAGACGGTGCCGTGGAGGGCCTTCTTGGTAAGCTCGTTGAGCTCTTGCATTCTGCGCTGACGGTATTGCTCCAGGAATGCCTCATCTTCGTCATCCTCTAGCTCATCAAGCTCGTCGAGATCCTTGCCCTCAAGTCGATTCTCATGCGCTAACCTGCGACCTTCCGCGATGGCCTCTTCGATCATGGGAGTCGGGCTGGGAGGCTTCTCTGGGATGACGCCATGTTTCCGGAGAATGTCGTTCCTGGCAGCACGTGTCAGGAGTCGCCGAGTAGCTGTCGCGAGATAACATACCACTCGGTATCTGCATTGGGATCATCGATTGGGACTTGTATCCTCTGGTCCATCGGCGCTGCCATTGTGACGGTATTTTGTATGCGAGCAAGCGTAAGTGCAGTAAGGTACGTAGGTGAGAGTGTTTATGTGTCCGAGGCCAGAGGCTAAATGTTGGTGGATGCTACTGACACCTTAATGATATGGGCAGTGACTTCAGGCTGCAGGTTAATATCGCAGATGCCTAAGTACCCGACTGCCTGGAGAGAATGACATGGAACATGGAAGCGGCTCAAGGTGACCAGCGGCCAGGCCAGCGGTGACACCCCGCCCTCACCAAGCTGTTTACGGGTGCACTTGCCTTAGGTAAGATGGCCGGGGCAACAGGTCCGCAGCCAATCACAGGCGATAGTCAAGTGTAGGCGTCAAGTCCCGTGATCCAGCCCTCCTCGGCACACTGTCCTCCCCTAAATTTTTAATGTGGGTCCTCGGAGAGAGGATTTTTGGCGGACGGGTCCCCTCTCTGGCTCACAATTCCACCACCCCATCATCACCGTTCTTTTGCGAGTGCTACAATCTGCTCTCTCAACACCACCAGATTCCCGTCAAGCCCGACAGCACTCGCATCCGATAACCGATCAATCAATCCTCGATCAGATCAGTCAAGATGGTAAGGCCCTCCTGCTGCCATGGCATTTTATGCCTGGCATCACCCGTGTGATGTTGTCTTCTTCCACGACGAAACGAAACCCGAACAAACCGACCGCATTGGGAACACGCGAGTGGCGAAAAAAAAAATATCATGGCAAGAGGAGGAAAAGATGGTTACGGCTGGGCTGTGGAGGAAGGACACGACGATTGCGCATGCGACATTTGATGAAGGAACCATCATGCTGATGGCTTCTCCCCCAGGTTCTCGCCGTTGATCTCCTCAACCCCTCCCCGGCCGCCGAGGCCCGCAAGCACAAGCTCAAGGTACGATACACCCACGATACCCTCACAACATCTTCACCTTACCTCACCTTACCCTACCCCTCCACACCACGAACATATGGTGACAGACACGATGATACTCACACATTGGACAGACCCTTGTGCCCGCGCCCCGCTCCTTCTTCATGGACGTCAAGTGCCCCGGTTGCTTCACCATCACCACCGTCTTCTCCCACGCCCAGACCGTCGTCATCTGCCAGGGATGCACCACCGTCCTCTGCCAGCCTACCGGTGGTAAGGCGAGACTCACTGAGGGCTGCTCTTTCCGCAGAAAGTAAACTGTTCGCCTCGACGGTTTTCTTTTAGCCCTTGGGTATTAACGACTTGGACGGTTCATCACTGGTGGGACATCTCGGATCTGCAAAAGCAAGCGACCTGGGCATGGGCGTATAGACAACCCTGGCACGGGCTCTTAGAGTCTGCTGTCTTCGAACAGAACATAATCAGACACCTTTGCGGATAGAAGATGGAGCTTCCAAAAAAATCTCTTGACCAAAAAACACAGGGGCGTTTGGGGTCTCCGGATATCCTTTGCATCACCAATCGACGCATCTTTTCCTCAGTTTTCTTCTCTTTCCTCGCGCGGCCGACAAAACAAGCAAACAAAAAGGCAACCAATCACTCACCACGCACACACTCCCTCATTCTCTGTCTCGTTCCGACGCCCGTCTCTTTTTGATGCGTTGCGTTTCTTCAGTCAGTACACGACAATGGGAGTTTTATGTCATCTCTCTGCATGGGGGGTGGACAGCTGGAAATGGCTTTCCGCATGAGCGTTTGGGTGGCCCACGGGATGACCTGGACGTGAGGACGTGGAACCGCTGGTTGATGATCGCTTCATACCCGGAGTGCAGTGAGTTTCGGAGGAATCAGCACTGCTTGCGAAATTCAATGGTTTCCACAAAAGCCCCGGCCGGCCTCTTGATAATGTGGTTTTCTCGTGATCTTGTGGTGTGTCTTTGAATGTGGTGAAGTGACGTGCTCGCGTGTACCTTGACGGATCTGCGACGATCCCCACTGGCTGTCCACTTATTTTGAATGTTGGAGTTGCTAGTGAAGATGCATGGCCGTGTGAGGGCAGGCTCGTGTGTCTCGACCTTAAGATTTGTTTCACCTCACACCGGCCTCTCCGTGGCTCTCCAAATGGCTGGATCACCGAGTATATCTCAACTTTGCGTAACACTGCTCTCCGCGGCCTAGTGCCAGTATCAGTGGCACACCATTAATTTGGAGAGCCTGATGCTGGTATTGATAAAGCCCAGGGATGCCTTGGCAGCTTTCTCTCCATGGAACAGAACATCTGCCAAAGAAAACGTTGAAACTGTAAGGCCTCAAGAGGGTAGGTAAGGTTTGAGCCATGCTCTGAACAACGCTTTCGCTGTTGCACCACTAGAGCTTCTCATCACGGCCTGCATAGTGCCCTGTTTGTGTATACAGTTGCCTCAATTGGACAATGGAGGCGCACATCAAGGCCGTTTCTAAGGATGATCGTCTATTAAATGCGTCACCTTGCTGCGATGGCATGCTAGATGACACGACCTTCATGACCACCGACGCTTAACCCACAAGGGCAAGAGGAAGTGAGAATAGAAGGATGCAACAATCGTAATGGGAAGCATTGTTCAAAATCTCATTATAATACAAAACATGGATGAGATAAAACTCCGCCTCCTTTGCCCTCTCGGCCGATTCTGAAGAGGCCGTGTCGCCCGTTGTCAAACGGACTCCCGTTCCTTGAGGCAAGAGGCGGCCCGTGGAGCAGCAGCAAACTTGAATAAGAGAAACCCGCCCCGACCAAGGAAGGGGGCAATGGGAACAATGGGAATGGAACGCAGGGGCGCCAATCATCCGCCGGTCAATGTCAGTTTCAGGGCACATGGTCCCCCACCAGCACAGTTAAAGTGGTTTTTAGTGATTTTAGTGGGCTCTGGCCGCGCGAGTCTCGCGAAAAAACACGCCCAGACGCGCTTTCTCTCGCCTAATCGCCCAGCTGCCGCGGATCGTCGGATGTCCCATGCGTTGTCCCTCCGTTTCTCTGCCACTCTGGGCTGCCCGTTTCTCGCAACCTTGGAAAACCGCCCGACCCAGCGGCCCAGGTCCTTCAGTATCCCCCACCACCACCCCTTCCTTCCCCCTTCTTCTCGTATCAACTTAATCTCCCATCATCTTCCCAACCACTTCTTTCTCCCCTCCTCCCCGCCCATCTCTCTTCTACGACATATCCTCTCTCGCTTCTGTACGTCATTTCTCGCTTGCGATCGTTTCTACGGTTACCACCTCCTACGCTTTTTCGGTCGACGAATTGAAACTCTCCACTCTACACCACCGAACTGCATCCCACGATACTTTTTCCTACGCCGACCTGGAAGAAGTCAACGCTTGGACCACAGCCTCCACGACGAGCCACGCTTCTTCCTCAACGTCAATTTCGACCAGTCTTCTAAAGGCCGACTGTGTCAACTTCAGCTAGTTTCTCGACTTCCTCAATCTCATCACAACCATGTCGGCCCCGAGAACGAAACGTCTCTTCGCCGGCGCATCAAGCGACCCCTCCCAGCGCCAAATCACCTCCTTCTTCAGCACCCGATCTGGCCCAGCTCCTCCCCCGGCCGGTCCTTCGCCCAACGTTCAAGAAACCATCCCCTCGGACGTACAATCCAACCTCCTCTCCGTCGGCATGCGCGTCCGCAAGTCCGTGCCCGAGGGCTACAAGACGGGATCCTACAGCAGCTTCAAGCTGTGGACCGACGCCACGGACCGCCGTACCCCCGTCGTCCGGTCAATCACCACCACCTCTACCGACCGCCACCGCAGCGCCGCCTCTCAACGTGAACTGCTGCCCTTCTGCGGCATCAACAAGGTCGGAGGCCTCTCCAGCCAGCCGGTCCACCACTCCAGCGACGAGGACGACTACGAACTCGACGACAGCAGCGTGCCTGGGTTGGACGATATGCCGGGCCTGTGCAGCTCCCAAGAGAGCGTGGAAAGCGTCGAGAGCACGGCCAGCGACGGACGGAGCAAGAAGCGCTTCTTCGCTCACGACGAGGAGAGCGACGAGCCGGTGCAGATGTGGGCGGATCGCGCGGCGTGGTTGGAGGGCGAGGTGAGCCCGCGGAGCCTGGCCCCGTCTGGGTGGGCCAACGCTCGTCCGCTGGCTGTCCCGAGGAAGAGTCGTCGTAGTCTGAAGACCAGGCTGGGGCAGGAGAACGTTGTCGTGGATGATTTCGAGGAAGCGGATTTCCTCGTTACGCCTGACACTGATATGAGCGATGCGTAAAGGAGGCTTCCTCCTTCTACGCGGATGTTTAGATGGAGACGGAGTTGTTTGTGCTATGATATTGTTTGAGTACCGAGATGGTACGGAGGCGGGCGCCTGGAGTTTTCTTTTAGGTCGCAGAGAATCACGGAGCGTGTTTCTGTTTCACTTGTACTCGGCAAGAGCTGCTTTGAGGACATTTGTTCAGTAGGGCGCGTGGAGGAACCGTGAGCAAGAGACGACAAATCTTGTTCGCGAGCGGTATGAATAGTCGAATTTGTATTACGCCTCTTCAAAGGCTAATGGTCTGCGCCATTGTGTTTTTATTGTATTGGTATCATAGGCTAGCACGTTACCCCTGAGCCCTCGCGAGCCAGCAAATTTGAGTCCCTTTTTGATAAGAGTTCCCTCTAGAGCCCTTCTCTATCCGTTGTCCTCCTATCTTTCTCAAAGTTCATGCTTGAATTTGCTTACATACCTGTAAAAGGATCTCTGAACTCAAGCAAATCGCGCTGCCCATAAAACTCACCGGCAACAGTCAGAATCATGTTAAGCGTAGCCCGCATGTTCATCCGCGCCCGCAGCTGGTCCGAAGCCTCACCATCGCCCTCGCCGTCGTGGGCAGCCTCCTCCACGATGGGTTCTTCTGATGGTGCCTCGGATGGCGCATCCTCGACGGCCGCCGCAGTGTCTATCTGGGCGAGGAGTCGAGCGCGTGCTTCCTCGAGCGTTTCGGCCGGCGGCTGCTCGTCTTCCGCAACCTCGCCTTCGTCGATCTCGCCGTCTTCGGAGACGTCCATTGGCTCCGACTTTTGGTCTTCGTCGATTTCTCCGTCCTCGACTTCGCCGCCGCCAACAGGGTCTTTGGGTATCGCAACATTCTCTTGATGCTTCAACCCCTCGGCCAGGACGCCGGAATTTCCATCCGACGTCTCCGCCCCAGACGTCTCCCCGCTCCCCTCCCCATCCCTCTCATCAACCTCCATCTCCCCCAACGCCTCTTCATCATCAGAACTCTCATCAACAGCATCATTCACCCCCAAATCCATGCCCTCCCCCTCCAAAGCATCCCTCAACGCAGCCATATCCGCCAGACTCTGCATCATCAGCACCGCCCGCCTCCCCAGATCCCTCACCCACCCGACCTCGACGTGGTTCATCTCCCCGCGCTCCGGTAACCGCGCAAGCAGAGCCCACAGCCACCGGCTCGTGCGCTCCCTCATCTCGCTCCCGCGCCGGAGGAACGCGCCGCCGCCCAGCAGCACGCGGAGGACGCGCAGCACGCCTTCTTTGTCCATGGAGGCGAGTTGTGCCGGGAGAGGGTCCGCATCGCGGAGGCGGTTGGACCAGGTTTTGTAGGTTGCCGATTTGGGCGCGAAGGCGCCGACGCGGAAGTCGTGGGGGGAGCCTGGGTGCAGGGCGGCGACGGCGGAGGCGGGTGGCGTGGCGTGGAGGAGTCTGCGGAGGCGTTTGAAGCGGGTGAGTATGGCGGCGAAGTAGGCTTCGCGGACGGCGGACTCGGAGTCGGCGCCGGCGTCTGGGTATTGGTCTTCGGCGTCGTCGATACCTTCGTTGCCGGGCCACTCGCCTTCCTCTGCTTCGTCGTTGTCGTGGGTCGCGTGGGGTTTGCCCCAGTTGTCGGGTCGTGCTGTGTATGCGCCGTCGGCGTAGTATCCCCTAAAGTCGCCCTCGCCTGTGGTGTAGATGTCGTGATCACCTTCCTCCGCTTCGTAGGCATCGTCCACGTCGCCGTCATCGTACTGGAGCTCTTTCGGTAGTTGCGGGCCGATCGGGACCTTTGGTGCCACAAGGAGGTGCGGTATACCGTTTGCTTGTGTCCTATAATACTCACCATATCAGCATCAACCCGCGCTACTTCAAAGACCAGTTCAGCACATGGGAAAGAAGATAGCCTAGTGAAAAGGGGGCATTTCTTACCTCACTGACTTGAGATACGCCATGGCATCTCCATCATCCTCAAAATCCAGCTCCGGATCCACCGGTACCGTCGTCGAGCCCGTGGCAGATGAGAAGACGTATTTCTGTCCCCACGTCGGATCGATGTGAGCATTTTGGTGGTCGCGCGCCTTGTTGTTCTTGTTGCGTTTGGACGCGGGCTGCTGCGCGCCTTCGTTGCCCTCGGAGGCTTCGTAGCTGCGTTTCGAGGCCATGCTTGTGGGTATCTTGGAGTTTTCTGCCGCTGGGCCCAGGAGGTGGTCTGGGAAGGGCAAAGAAAAAGTTGGCGATTCTTGTGCAGTGCTGGCGTTTGCAAGAGGTTGACGGTCCTGGTCGCGAAATTTCCCCCTGGTTGGAGCTTCTGCCTCCCGGCGCTGATCCCCAACTTTTCAGTGGAGAAATGTCTTTATTTTGTGGGGCTTCGTCGCCGGGCTAAAGCCGCCCGACTAGCTTCGGGATAATGAAGCTTTTGCGACATGTCTTGAGAGCAACAATCACTATTGTATGCCATGTGTTGACAAGCACCAGATTCCAGGACATAGTATGCTAGCTCCGCTTATGCATTGACGGTAGACTAGATCTGAGCATCAATAAGAAATGGATTCTGAGGTCTGAAAAGCAATTATTCCTACTTGAATACATGTTTTTGATTTCACGTCATTAAGTGACACACTCGAAAAACAATAACAAGTTGGACACCTGCTTGCGAGGGTGAAGTCAATGAAGATAGTCCGCTCATTACCGTGCCAATAGCTATCATGTTCTTGTAGTTTTGATTTCGAAAAGGCAAGAGAAACAAAAATAGAAGGGTTCAACAAAAGGGCGTATATCTAGAATTTAAAGGGAACAACCGCTCCTTTCAAGACCACCGTTGTCTGGGTCTATGGCATGCGACTCCCACCATATGTTATCCAAGCAGGTGTCATAACACACGTAAATTATCAGAGTTGAGGTGGTCAGTCTTGATTTCTCATGAGGTAGCCTGAATAATACCACACGCATATGAAATCGACGCTCAGCTTTAGGTTTCCCATTCAACCACACGGGTATCAACTGCCTCGCTCCTTCCCATCGCAACAGCTCTCCTTCCCTGGCCTGAAGTATCTACCTAACGTACTTAAGGGGTCTACTCACCATTCCTGTCACCAGCACAGCAGCACCCGTCTAGGTCGGCGAGGTCAGGCCAAACTGTGTGCGAGGTGGTCGAGTGGGTAAATAAAGGAATACTCCAATGAAGCTAGAGTCTGGGTTGACTGAGGGGCGCGCTGTTCGATTCCGGGCAGGGGAGCGAGTTATAACGTCAGTATTACCTTTCCCTTTCTATCATTTTTGCAGAGTTTAAGCTTCTGTTCGTGAACTATTCCGTGTACTTAGGCACTGAGAGTGAGAGCAGTGGTGAGCCGGAGGAGGCTTCTTTTACTCACTTATTCGTCTATCCTCTCTGGAGGATCTAAGGCGGTCTTTCATGGTATAAGGTACAGTATGGTCTCAGCTTAGTTATCAAAGTGTCTTCATTCATCATAGAATTATTAGAACATCAGTAGCCTTGATCTCGCATAGTGGCATGCAGGTAACGCAACCCGTTATAGCTAGGCAGTCCGGGAACATGATAAGCTATGTAGGAAGACATACTTTGTGATTTGAGGGAGAGGGGTTCGCCTTTATTGGCTAGAGCGGTCTGGTCTAGCGAAATATCGGCGATGGGTATAGGCATAGACACTACCGAAGGTGCACGTCTCGTGGGATCTGATCGTATGAACTATGACTAGTTTTTCTTGAGAAAGGTGTTGCAGTCTCTACCTTCTAGAAGCCAGTCAAGTCCATACGGCTAGTTTGGATGTTTGATGCGTATCAGTGCTACTTTACTGACTGCATCAGTCAAAAGTGAGGACGCAAAGAAGTTGAACCGCCAAAGGGGCTATTCGGAGCATCCACCCGGAGATGTATTGATTCACAATATCTATTGCAATAAGGTAGCGGTCGTCAGGTTGACAGACCCGTGCATCGCTGATACAATCCTATCATGAGCCTTGAATGTGAGCCAATGATACTCTAGCAATTCCGTTGCGTCGGGCCCCATGAGTTAAGCAAGCCGTAGGCTTATTGAATCCATGTTCAGGACGAGCTTTTGATATCCCTGTATGTTCACACTTGCTTTGCGTTTTTTCAAGTATATTCATCATATAATATACTTACGAAGCTTACGAGGAAGATTTTGAAGTCGACAACCTTCCGTTCTCGCATTCTCGCTGGCCGAGTCCCCCTCTCGGCACCTCAACAACCATTGAGTTCCAATGGAACCCCGACACAAAGGTTCTCGATTGGTTCGATTTGACCATAGAGAAGACAGTGCAGATCTCCCTCGAGCTGCAGCTTCGAGCTCGGATCCACGCTGATTATCTATCGGTGTAGATTTGTGTGACCATGTGCCATAGCTTGGCTTCATGGACAGTCTATGTGTTTCTCGGTGTTGCGAGGTATATCAGGCCGCTCAGTGTTCAAGCAGCCCTCAAAGATGAGGTTTTGTGAGAGAGGCCGGATAGGTCCAGGTCAACAGGACGGGTCACCGCTGCGCACGTTTTCTCCCAGCCAGCGACGAATTCATTGTGTTCTTCGTAGTAAGCTTCTTGTAAGTCAGCAGTGAGATGATCTACAGACTGCCAGGCCCCTTTCTCATTACCGCGACCCTCACCAAGAAATCTCCTTAGGGGCAGCATACCTTGGTGACCTGGAGAAACTATCAAGGAGCCTTACTTCTATTCCTACATTTGTAAATAAGCATGACTATCTTGCTCTGGAAAGTTTGGTCCAAGTCCTTTCTAAGCTTCGCTGCTAAAGGTTTGAGTTGACTTGAATGTATGTAAATCAAACCGGCAGCCCGCTCTGTCACTCCCAACCAGTCGTTGGAGGAGCTAGTGGACCCCTGTCCAAGCTCCAGATTCAGTCTCCACTTCAGTCCATGGACTCCAATCTACCTTGCATTAGATCCCCCGAACTTCACAATCGCATCCCTCCCAGGCACACACACCACCAGTTGCGACAATGGCGACAACAGTACCAGATCAACCGCCCCCTCCGCCCGACAATGAACCAGTCTACGGCGGCTATACGCGATTCGAAATCGAGCTCGAGGTATGCATTTACACGCTTCCTTCATCTCATCCCCCGTCGCAGGAATAGAAAGAGAATCGCACGACGATGAGCAAGTCTTACTAACCTCCTCGCGCGCGCGCAGTTCGTCCAATCACTCGCGAATCCCCTCTACCTAAACCACCTCGCGACCCAAAAACTCCTCACCCGCCCCGACTTCGTCGCCTACCTCGCCTACCTGCAGTACTGGACCCGCCCGCCGTACCTAAAGTACCTCATGTACCCCGGCCCGACGCTCAAGCACCTCGAGCTCCTGCAGCAGGAGCAATTCCGGCAGGACGTCATCAGTCCCGATCTCGTGCAGAGGCTGATGGACGACGGGATGCGGGCTGCGGTCGACTGGCACCGGAGCGATGCGTGAGGCTTTGGACGGAATGCGCCTTCAGAGTTTGGGAGTGTCACATGGGCACGCCATTGGTAATCACGCGATTGGTTCCTGTTCTTTTCATGGATTGGGACGACAAGCCTTGGGTGTCTGCGAGATTTGCCGCGAGCATACGGCTAGCATTAGAGACCATGGGATCGAGGAGCCAAGGACCGTTCGCGTTATGAGGCGAGCTGAGGCGGGGAGACGCGCGCGGGCCTTAAGCAGCATGACAGCAGACATATCACGAATTTAATGACCATGATAGGGCAGGGTCATAGGGAAGCGTCAGTCATATGATCAAGCAAGTCGTAGACAAAGACTCGCTTTGCGGAAGCGATCCACTAGGGAAAGCAGCCTCTGAACAAGTTTCCAAAACATAGAAACGCAGCTGCAGCGCGTTGCGTATAGCAGGACCAAACAAGAACAAATCCACACATCGTCCCCAACGCCTCGCAATGCCCAGTGAAAAATCCCAAAGCCTCCCTCTCGTCCAGCATCAGTTTTCTCTCCATCTGTTTCCGCACGACATGCACTGAACACACTCAGTCAGCATTCTGCCCTTTCGATAAGAGACCACGGCAAAAAAGCATACCTTGTAGAACGTAGTCATAGGCTCATCAGCACTGCGAATCTGGACCTGGAAGAAGGCGGCCTCCTCGCCGTTGCAGCCGTCCTTGGGGCACTGTGCGCGCGCCTTGTCGGCATTGTCCCACTCGCCCGGCCCGCCAAAGACGTCCTCGCGCTCCTTGCGCTCAAAGTCGCGGCGGGAGTAGATCGGTTCGGTGATGGCATGCTCAAAGGGGCAGGTTCGGCACTCGAGGCGGTTGCGCACGCCGGCGTAGGCGGAGACGGTGAGGATGTTGGCGCAGTTGGGGCAGACTGGGTTTTTGTTGTCTTGTTAGCGAAAAGCGCTTGATGGAAAGAGGAGGAGGGGTGGGGGCATGGGAGCTTTGGAGTCTTACAGAGCAACATCTTGGCGGTATGTGTGGTTTGCAACCAGGCAGCGGTCGTTTGTGCGAGCGATTGAATGGTCACGGAGGTATGGTTTGCTGCTTGGTGATGTGCTCAGCTCACCGCGAAATCGCTGCTCGGTGTGATTGTCCTGGAAAATTCAGCGGGCCTCGAATGTGACGGTGGGGGACGAAGCCGCCGTTCACCAGCCAGGGAACAGTCACCAGCGACCAGCGTCATGTAGGGGGGGTGAAAACGGTAAAGGAGTCCATCCCGCCGGAAACCGGCCGCAATAATGTTCCGTGCCCCTCCAAGAGGCACCCGTTCTCACCCCGCCATACCCGTCCCGTCCGTCCAGCTGAAGTGCAAATAGCGGGGTTGGCGGACTGTTTCCAGGATTGCTAGCCCTTTGTTCGTTGTAAGCGCTGCAACAAGCTGCTGCTGAGAAGGTTTACCTTACTGGGCCACCTAGCAAGTAACTGGACGTATTCGGAGAGACGGGAAGTGCCTTGGGCGCCTTTCACGGTACCTAAGGTGCTAAATTAGGACCTTCTGTTCTGGATCAGGGGTTTGGCGATCACTGCCACCTCCTTGACACCACAAACCTGGAAACTGCCGCGTAGCCTCTCAGCCCCACGAGCCTTTGCATAGGTACTGTGTAGAAAGGAAGTTTGGGTACCTACGTAGCTGCATCTCACCTCATCTGAAAGCCAAACGGAGCCCAAAGTTCAAGTGACGACTCGCAACATCTCCCCGAACCCAGATCTACCTCACAGCGCGATCGGACGTTGCGCGACTCACCTTCTTCCTCTTTCATCTACTGTGCAGTATTCTTCTCCCGCAACCTCATACATTCACCGCCCTGGACGAGCCCTTCGTACCTGGCCTATCGCCCCTCACCTTTCCCCCCACGATAACGCACCTGGAGAAAAGAACGACCACCAGAGCACCACTACATACTTTTTACCCCTCACCGTCCTTTCTACCTCAACTCCTTCCCGCCGTGACCTCCGATCCACGAACCCCACCAAAAGCGACGTCTCCCCGACCCAGCACGGAAGGCCAATTCGAAACACCACCTTCCTTACCCAGCACAGCACAGCACGGCAACAGCAAACCCTCGTCATTTCCCCTTCGTCCCCGAGAACGCCTCCATCCCCACGATAGCCTCGTCGTGAACAAAACCGCACACCCACACCCACACACATACACAAATCCACAACCATGGCAGGGGATCACGAGGAGCACGAGGTTCGTTCGCCCACTTCTCCGCCACACCGAAACATTCCTCTCGTAAGAAATGTAAAGCAAAGAGCTGACACGATACCTGCAGGGCGCCTCCGTCAAGGAACTCCTCATCGAGGCCGCGCGGCGCGACAACACTGAACTCTTCAACGACGTCATCGCCGGCATCAAGGACGAGAATGAGCTCTCCCGCATCCTCAACGAGACCACCACCGTCATGGGAAACCACCTCTACCACGAAGCTGCCTCCCGAGGAAACTGTACGTCTTGCCATCACGCACTTCATCTCGACACTCGAAACTTCCCTCAACACCGCCGACTTTCGTCCTCTCTCACACCATCCCCCTCATAACTATATAAAGGCAGAATGCTAATTCTAATACCCTCCCACAGACGACATAATCGACCTCCTCCTCGACCAACCAAACTTTGAATGCGACCCCATCAACCGCCAAGAAGGCGACACACCCCTCCACAGCGCCATCCGCTGGATCAACAACGAATCCCAAGCCAACCGCGAATTCGGCAATGCCCTCGTCGACATGATGCTCGAAGCCGGCTCCAGCCCACGCATCAAGAACAAGGGCGGCCTCACCCCCCTCCAGCTCGTCGACCCCCGCAACCCGGCCCTCCGCGAACTCATCCAGAAGCACGAGTACGCCTCGCTCAACGCGGGCGACTTTATCAACGTGGACTCTTCGTCCGCGGGCAAGAAGAGCAAGAGCGGTGCGAGTGGTGCGCCGCCGGCGTCGGCGCCCCCTGGTGCGCCTCCTGCGATTCCTAATTCTGCTGCGCCGCCTGTGCCTGCGGGGTACGCCCACGACGAGGAGAGTGACGATGATGCCGAGTTTAGTGGTAGTGATGACGAGGAGAGGGCCGAGTGGGATCGGAGACGGAGGGAGCGTGCCGCGCGCAAGGGCTGAAGTCTTATGGTTGTAAGGGCGTTTTGATGACCTCACGGTGAAAGGCAGAGAAGAGGGAGGACTTTGCAGATTTCGAGCACAAGTTGGTTGCCCTTTTTTTCGCCGGTACATCTGTTCCATGTCAACCCCTCGCCTCTTCCCAACAACCCCTTCGCATTAGATGACGGGGGGTAGGAAGAGGCGAGGGTCAAGACACGTACAAAAAACAACACGGCAGTACGGAGTACGGAGAGAGAGACGAGAAGGAAAGAGGCGATGTAGGAAGGAAAGAGAAAGAAAAGAATTTCACAACTGTTAGACTTTTTTTCCAGTGTCACGATTCATGGGTCAAGGTGTTTTTCTTTTGGGGGGGGGGGGGGGGGGGCGGCTTTCATCTCACGAGAAAGACAGAAAACAGAAAAACACGTCACAAGTACCATGAGATGGAGAGGTGGAGCGAGATGAGGATAGATAAACAGAGTCGGGAACATTGAGCCGAGTTTTTTTCGAGGTACATTATTGCAATCCAAATTTCCCAGTAGTTGTCAAGTCAAGGTGTTCCCGTTCAGGCGTAGAGCATGATGGATTTATGCCTACTTTTGATCTATCTAAGCAAAAAGTCCTTCTGAGCTGAGAGCATACCTGGTAACGATATATGCACAAACTACCCCGACTCCGAGGCGGCGGATCTCGTCTCCGTCGGTTCCCTTCCGAAAGGTTAAAACTCTCCGCTTGTCGCACACAACTACCGGTAACTGAGCTTGCAAGTAAGCTTCGGTAAACGTTTGTTTCCTCAATGATTAGAAACCTGGTTACGATCTTGTGGTCCTCATTCGGAACGCATAGGATGACGGCGGCTTCTCATGGTCGCCCCATTCATGAAAAGCACAGTCTCTACAAGGTATGAAGTGTATTGTATTTATCATGGGTATAAGTCTTCTAGGTACTCGAAAGGAAGGTTGTGGTTGTAGTGTCTTCTGGCTCACATTGTTGAGCCTCTGTATCATCGTCTTGCGCCATGCATCTATCGTCCATGCCTCGTACAGTCATTCCAGGGTATCCCAATGCCAAAAAAGCCCCAAACTTGCAAAGAAGCACGGCAGATTGCGTGGGTCCAGCCCCGTCGTGCTTATTCCAGAGAAAGCAAAAAAAAAAAAAAAAGCAAACAACCCCAAGGCATCTACCAACCCAACAGCATGGCAGCGGTTGTAGCCGCCGCACAGATGGCCCACAGAGACGACGAGGCCAGGCCTGGAGCAGCGTTCTTTTCGCTCTCAGACTCTATGTAGGATTGATTCTTAACCAGGTCCAGGTTCTTCTGGCTCAGGAACCCGGCGCTCGCGAGCTCGAACAGCTGCGGTCCCATGGTCCGGAGAATGTTAGTGCTCCTTCCAGCGGGGCAGAAGACAACCTCCCAGCCGCCGCCTGATGGGATGATGAAGGTCGAGGTTTGGTCGTCAAAGGCGAAGCTGTATGCGTCGGGGCACAGGGCCTTGGCGTGTCTGGAGTACAAGCCTGGCTTGCACTTATTGGGGTCATGCCATTTGCCTATACAGCAGTCGTGATCCGAGTTCGTGGCCGCGCATTGGCTCTTGCACGGGCTGAAGGTCGGACGCTGGATATTGTCATCGGGATAGGGATAGACACCGTCGCCGGGCTTGTCTGGCGGGTTGGAAAGCAGTGGCCATGGGCACCAGTCCTTGGAACTCTCGTTGGACTCAGTCGGTTCCCAAGGAACGGGGTATGTGCTGTTGGTGTAGACGGTGCCGCTTGCCGCGCGTTGTGACAGGAAGCCTGTCGTTGCGATGCAGGCACAGTTGGTCAGATTTGGCGGGATATAAGTGGTGTTCTCGGCGGGGATGTAGTTGATGCCCACAGGGATGTTGTAGCCATCGACTAGGGAGATATCGTAAAACGTTTGGCGTCCAGAGACACCGCCGGCCAAGTTGAACTCGGCGAGAGTTGCGGGAACAGCACCCTAGGTTAATTAGCCATCGTCTGTCGCGTTCGAGAGGGCGAGACTTACACTGAATTCACAGTCAAGCTTTCCAAAGCAATCACCCGTCTCGCAGCCTGCCGACTCTCCATTGACGGTACAATTGGTTCTCCCCCAAGCGCGGCCTTGCCAAGTTGGCCCAACCCACATGTCTCGACTGTCACCCGAGGCAAGCTCGAAACCACCGATTCCAGGACCGACGCCATGCTGCGTTGTGATGCCGGGCCAGATCGTGTCAGGACATGAGTTGGTGACCTTCAAGGGGATTCTCCCATTCCAGTCCTCGGGTGGGCCTCGTCTGGCGGGGTTGTACCGCTTGTTCAGTTGAAGGTAGTCGGTCTTGTAGTTGGGGTGATAGCTTGGGAACACGATTGCGTTGGCTGCTGGTAGCTGCGAGGATATGGCCAGCGCGAAGAAGAGGCTCTGGCTTGTCCTCGAAGGTCGCTTGTCGCCTCTTCTCGAAGACGACGAAGGTCTCATGGTTTCGTAGGCCGGCCTTCTCTGACAAGTCTTTGGTATAGCCCAAGAGAAATAGCAAAACCGAGAGTGATGACAAGTCGTGTAATTCGTCGACTTAAAAGGGTCCAATGTAATTTTACGCTGGGATGCTGTGACAATTCATGATTCAGAAGGATCCAAGCTTCCGCGGTACTCGAACGACGATCTGGAGGTAGATATAATGACCGCCAGCACCCAACGATGTTGAGCAATCAGACGCCCACCAATAGACTGCGACGGACCTGCGCCGAGTGACGTACGGGAGCGTCGACGTGAGAGCGAATGAGCAAAAGCAAGGGGCGGCGGGATATGCCCAGAGGTGAGATCGGCCTGGCTGATCCAGGGGCCAATTCCTGATTATCCCTGCACGCGCGATGTAGCGTCAGAGTTCGACCAGGTGGGAGACGCAGGTTGGTTGGATGGGCACGGAAGGGTGGAACAGGAACTGGTTCGTAGGGCAGGGAAAGGAAAAGTAGGTTATTTTCTTTCGCGCTTAATAGACAAGCGTTATCTGGCACTAATGATGCAGAAAGGGACCGTCGTCAAGTTTTGTAGGAGGGTACGACGTAGAGGTTTTCGTGGCATACGATAGCCTCGAGTGACCCGAGGTTGATGAGATGTCGAAGTTCAAGAAGAGAGAAGAACACACCATCGCATAATGACATTACCTCCTGAACTACAGTACTTTACTTGCTGTATTCGCCGCATACTTACCTTGTCAACTGAGGGGGCATTGGCTCGTCCCATTTACCTGCTGCCACTGTCGGTTGTCGAAAGGTGCAAGATGCAGGGCCCGACCTTGGGTCGAACTTCCCAGCGGTTCATGTTCAGACGATGACGCAGGAGCAACTGGCTGCCCGGTTTCCCGCTGGCACTGACCAGGGTTGATCTGGTCTACTTCGGCTCGGTAGTGACCAGGGCCTTCCTTGCTTGGCTCTTGCTCCCCCGCGCCGTTGACCAACTGGGCCAGTGGACGGAGCCTTCTCCAGTCTCCACACATTGAAGTTGCTGTGGCTGAGTCAGAGCATGTTATGACCGGTCAGCCTCTCAAGTAGTCTCTCGCTGTTCTCCCCTCAAAAATACATCAGGTCAGTCGCTGTCTTATCTTTCGGCATAGCCCCCACAACGTTGCTCTTGGCCATCATGAACTTGGTCATGAACCTTCGTCAAAATAGAGGACTTGGTCCCTCACAAGTAAGGATACAGGATTAGGGTGTGTTTTGATTCCGGAAACCGCTAGCCGGCATCCATGATCCTCCACTCCACGTGGCGCTCCCAGCTCGCAAAACACAATTCTTGGCAAGTCTTGTTCTGGTCGACCAAACAAAATTTGCTTAAGAGCTGGTTAGATAAATACCTACCTATAGCAAGTTCCCATGTATTGCGCAATTGCAGCCAAAAAAAAAAAATTGCAGAAGCTCAGATCCCTTCCCCCTTACGGAAGACCTTCAAAATCCAATAACTAAACCGGCTCAGGTCCAACCGTGTGTGAGTGTGAACTTTAGGTTCTGGGCAGTTGGAATGAAGGGTGATGGCTTCATCAGGCTTGGATACGACCTTTCCCCGGACTTGGGTGGATCTCCCTACAACCCCGTCAGGAAACTGTAGTCTTTTGAAAAAAAATCTTGATTTCTCCCAAGCGGGGAGTGTCGTGCGTCTACAACACTTGACAATAGGCCATAATCCTTCCGCGTCATAAAAACCTCCAAAATCCAATCCTCGTCTTCCAGTCATCTGTTCTGGGAGGTCTCTTCGTGATATGTACTCTCGGCCATTATCAGCCTCGGGGCTGTCCTTCTGGGCCCCATCACCTTTTCGAGGTATCATCCGAGTGTATGGAAACGAAATGCCCAATGCAAGCAAGCAAACATTATCAGTCTCTCGCTCTCCCCCCTCTCCCCTCCTCTCTTCCCTCTTTCTTCCGACACCGTCTTTACCTGAAGCGCGCTCTGCAGCGGCCCATGACCTCGCCTTGGCACACCAGCTCTGCGCTGAATTCGGATCCGTCGAGCGTCAGGTAAATGTCAAAGTAGACACGGTAAAATGTGCCCTGTGGTGTGTCCATTCTCTCAAAGTCCTTCTCTAGGTTCTTCCGCGACAGGTCCGAAGTCAGGGTGACAACTTCCTTGATGCCTGTGTCCGAGATTAGCAATGGTCAATTGTGAAAATCCATTATTGAACTTACGAGGATCCTTAGTATACTCAGGGCAAACATCATCATCGCAAGCGTACAGAATGTCCTCGTACATGAGCGTCGCACCTGGTGCAACTTGACGGAAGAACGAGACCTTGACAGGCTCGCCAATCTTGACCTTTTGACCCTTTTGCACAAAGATTTGACGGGTGAACTTGCAGCGGTCCTTGCCATCGAGGGATGGCACACGGTAGGCCTCGGGATGGTATCCTTCCTTAAAGGGCTGCAAGGTGGCCATGAGGTAGTGACGACGGGCAACACGGTGTGTGACGACGCGCTCGGTGATGCCGGCAGTAACAGCACCCTTGACGATAGCGGCCACTGAGTCCATGGGGCGGACGACCTTGGACTGGAACTGGGGAGGAACGTGAAGCTTGATCTGCTGGAAGAGGTACTCGGAGGCACCGAATCCACCAACGACGAGAATGTTTTGCAACGTCCGGTTCTGGGCCTGGATGGCAATGATCTGGTTTCTGACGAGCTCGAGAATGCGGTTAACAACGGGCTCGAAGCACTGCAGAATCTCCTCGTTGGTGAACGTCATGTAGCCCTCCTCGATGCCGGCCTCGGGGAACTCGGCCTCGATACCAACGTCGACAGCCCACTTCTGGCCGTTGTTGCGGAAATCGGCCTTGATACGGTTCTCAAAGTCCATGATGCACTTGGCGTACACGCGGCCGGCCGTCTTGGATCCGTCGGGGAGCTTCATCTTGCGAATCTTGGTGCGGAGGATGTTGCTGAAGTTGCGATTCAGCGCTGTTGAACCGCAAGAATCACCAGATCCTGCCGTGCACTCGGCAACGGTGAAGGGGTTCTCCTCCTCGACTTCGTACGCGATCAAATCGACAGTACCACCGCCACAATCGACAATCAGCACGGCGTCGTGGACCTTGAGGTTCAAGAGTCCCGTCTTGGAACAGAAAATAGCAGCAGCCTCGGGCTCGGAAACTAGCGTCAGCCGGTTGTCGTTTTCGTCTCTCAGGAAACCGGCCTGGATAGCAGCAGCTCTGGTGGCGGCCTTTCCTGCATCGTTCCAAATGGCAGGGACGGTGAGATAGTAACGAATGTTCCGCTCCTCACGGTTGAATACTTCACCGAGAGTCTTTTGCAGAGCCGAGCGCATAGCCTGGCGGAGCTTGAACAGATAGTCGGCCGCAACATCGATTTCGGACTTTCCAGGAGGCAGAGGAGGCAGGTTGATGGGGTCGATATATGTGTTGCCGGACAGCATGAGCTGCAGCTTGAACCACTCGACCTTTTGCACGCCGGGCTTTGGGTATCCAGTAGGGGCGAGGGCGTCGGCGATGTCGGGACCCCAGCCAACAACCTTCTGGTACTGATCGTAGTAGAGAACCGTGGGGATCTAGAGAGACAAAAGAGCGTCAGCAAAGTACAAGAGCAAAACGCATCACGCTTTGTCTATGTCTGGGGACCCCTAAGTTCTTCCTACCTTTTGCTTCGTGTATGAACCAGCGCCAGGCCATTCTGTTATAATGTCTTCCTTGGCTTCGTTGTTTGTCGCAAAAGCAAACGCCACACCGGAGAAAGTCGTACCCTGTGGGTCATGTCAGCAACGCGGCATATGACAAATATTGTCTTGATCCCAAGAGTCCACGTACGAAATCGATACCGACAATCAGCTGAGCCTTACTCCTGCTGTTGCCTTCCACCTCGGCCGCGCTGCCGCCTCGCTGGTACTGTGCCATGGGCCCACCTTGAGGAGGACCCGGGGGAGGATAGCCACCGCCGCCGCCGCCGCCGTACTGAGGAGGACCGCCCATGGGGTGTCCCTGACCGCCGATGGGAGGAAGCTGAGGGGGGTAACCGGCGACGGGAGCACCAGTGTTGATGGGAGGAGGACCGCCAACCATCTGCGAAGGCGGGGTGCGAGCCGGACCTTGACCCGTCATGGGGCTGGTGCGACCCATGGGAGGAGGACCGCCTTGAGGAAAGTTGGCCGAGTAGCTCGGAGGCCGGTTACCGGCGCCTGGGTGTTGATTCATGGGAGCGATTGAAGCGGAAGAGGTCGAGGCAATGGAGCCTGGGCGGACGGGAATCTGTTGCGGTATTTGAGGGGCACCGGAGGGGTGACCACCCTGAGGAGGAGGGGTCGGGCTTGGGGTTTGGTTCGGATCGGGTGTCTGGATACTAGCAGTTGACTTGCGTTTGCCGAAACCAAAGCCTTTCAGGCGGGAGTTGGAAAAGCTCATATGGGATTACTGAGTCGGGGAGGAGAAGAGGGAGAAAAGCGAGGGCCCAAGGTGGGCAGGACCAGCAGAGGGTATATCGATTTGGGTTGCAGGGCGTCGGCAGCCGTGCGGGTGCGGGCGTGTGGTGCGGTGCAGCAGAGCAGAGCAGAGCAGAGCAGCAGAGAGGAGCGGTGGTGGTGGTGGTAGTGGTGGTGGTGGTGGTGCTCTTGGTCGTACTCGAGTAATAATCGGCGGGATGATGGATTGGATGGCCTGGGCTTAGACTTTTAGGACTTGTTGCTGCGGCTGCTGGGCTTGGGCTTGGACTTTTGGGCTGGGGTGTCGGGGTTGGGGGGAGTGAAGAGGAGGAGGGGGAGGGGGTGGGTGGTGATTTTTTGGTAGTAGGCAGTGGTGGTCCGTCCCGGTCAACTTTCAAGTCAGACGCAGGTCAAGTCACGGTTCTTAGGTCAGCAGAGAAAAAGTCAAGAACCCTTTTTTAGGACTTGGCTAAGAGCCTTTTTCTGCAGGTCTGGGAAAGGGACCAGAAATGCTAGGACTCTTTCTCTCTCTCTCACACACAGCTGCTGGGCCTGCTGGGT